TTGTGTAATATTCAGAAATTTAGCATCAAAGAGAACTTTGAGCTTTACGCCAACAAACTACTAGACAAAGTGCTACAGTCCATCTCCGATAAAAATAAAGAATTTACAGGAATACCATTACAAACAAAGATGCTGATTGAAGCTTTTCAAGAAAAAATTAAAACTTTTTATGATCAGTTCAACAAAAACGAATCAAATATATCCATAAAACTAGATCTTATGAACTTATATAGAGCCTTTGTTGAAAGTAAGTACAAAAGGCATCTTTTAGAAAAACAGATATTGAATCTATCGAAATCAGGTCCAGAGTATGACACGTTATTCGCATCCTTCGAGAAAAAATATTCCTTGTTAGCATTGTGTATACTTTTCCATGAAGAAGATTTAAATCAGTTTTTGATAGAAGAAGAATTGGAGACGATAAAATTACTCAAGAGACAGATACAAGAAGGTAAAGAAAATTCAGGTTTCATTAGTCATATTGTTGCTGCCAAACCAATATTCATTCACTTCAGTTTTGCTGAATATTTTGCTGCACATTTTTACTCGAAGAACATAAAAAGAAAAGAAGTAACTAAATTTTTTTGCCATCAGGTTTATGGAAAAGAACATAACTTAACTAGGATCTTTTTCGATCAAATGGTAACTGCCGATAAGTATACCTGTAAGATGCACATTGCAGTTTTAAACAATGATATAGAAAAAGTAAAGCAATTATTATCAAATGCAGAGAAAGCAAAAGATTTCGTTAATGCTGCAGATAAAGTAGGAAGAACAGCACTGCACTTAGCTGCTGCATATGGAAATTTTTATATGGTTAAGACTTTGTTGAATCACGAATTTAGAGCAGATGCTGAGGATCAACTACTTGGTTGGAGGCCTTTAAGATATGCAGATAAAGACGGTCATTGGGAAACTGTTGAATTACTCCTTAGAAAGGGTGCGAATGCTTGTGACATTTGTGAAGCAATAAAAAGCCTTGAAACTTATGATGCTGAGAAACCAAAAAAGATTTTATTACACGAGGCGGCGCAAACAGGTTTAGTAGATCTTTTAGAGGCTCTGATAGAAAGTAAAATAAATATGATTAATGTTGTTGATGAAAGAGGGTGGTCTCCTCTTCATTATGCTGCATATGAAAAAGTTGCCAATCTTTTAATAAAACGAGGAGCCGATATTGAAGCCAAAGATATGTATGGAGAAGCACCTTTGCACTGGGCTGTGAGGCAAGAAAATATTGGGGTTGTCGAGCTTCTAATAAAAGAAGGTGCTGATGTTGAAGCTAAAGGTTATCATAATGAAACTCCCCTATTTTCAGCTAGAAGCAAGAAAGTTTTCGAACTTTTAATTGCCAAAGGCGCTAATATAAATGCTAAAAATAGCAAAGGCTATACACCTCTTCACAGTGCTCTTATGAATGAAAGGGATGAGGTTACCGAGCTTTTAATAAGAGAAGGTGCTGATGTTGAAGCTAAAGGTTATCATAATGAAACTCCCCTATTTACATCTAAAAGTAAGAAAGCATTCGAACTTTTAATTACAAAAGGCGCTGATATAAATGCTAAAAGTAGTGAAGGTTATACACCTCTGCACTGCGCTGTTATGAAGGGAAGGGATGAGATTGTCGAGCTTTTAATAAAACAAGGTGCGGATGTTGAAGCTAAATGTCATCATAATGAAACTCCCCTATTTTCAGCTAGAAGCAAGAAAGTTTTCGAACTTTTAATTGCAAAAGGCGCTAATATAAATGCTAAAAGTAGCGAAGGTTATACACCTCTGCACAGAGCTCTTATGAATGAAAGGGATGAGGTTGTCGAACTTTTAATAAAAGAAGGTGCGGATGTTGAAGCTAAATGTCATCATGATGAAACTCCTCTATTTTCAGCTGGAAGCAAGAAAGCATTCGAACATTTAATTGCAAAAGGCGCTAATATAAACGCTAAAAGTAGCGAAGGTTATACACCTCTGCATAATGCTCTTATGAAAAGAAGGGATGAGGTTGTCGACCTTTTAGTAAAAGAAGGCGCTGATTTTGAAGCTAAAGATTACCGTGATGAAACACCTTTGTTTAAAGCTAGTACCAAGAAAATGTTTGAGCTCTTAATTGAAAAAGGCGCTAATATAAATGCTAGAAATAATATAGGTAAAACACTTCTGCACAGTGCTGTTCTGAGCGAAGAGGACGAGATTGTCGAGCTTTTATTAAAAAAGGGAGCTGATGTTGAAGCCAAAGATTGCTTTGGTTCAACTCCTCTATTTGCAGCTAGAAGTAAGAAAGTATTTGAACTTTTAACTGCAAAGGGTGCTAATATAAACGTTAAATGTAGCAATGGGCTTACGCTTCTGCATTACGCTCTTTTGATCGATAATGAAGAAGTTTCCGAGCTTTTAATCAAAAAACGGCGCTGATGTTGATGCTAAAGGTCCTGATGATGTAACACCTTTGTTTGTCGCTGGAAGCAAAAAAATTTCCGAGCTTTTAATTGCTAATGGCGCCAACATAAATGCTAAAAGTCGGAATGGTTTTACACCTCTGCACGCTGCTGTTATGAATGAAGAGTATGAGGTTGCCGATTTTTTAATAAAAGAAGGCGTTGATGTTGATGCCAAAGATTCTCATGATGAAACGCCGCTGTTTTTAGCTGGTAGTAAGAAGGTATTCGAGCTTTTAGTTGCAAGAGGCGCTGATATAAATGCTAAAAGTAGTGAAGGATATACACCTATGCACACAGCTGTTATAAACAATAAGGAGGAGGTTGTTGAGCTTTTAATAAAGGAAGGTGCTAATGTCAGTGCTAAAGATAACTTTGGTAGAACACCTCTATCTTATGCTAATAGTAAGACTGTACTCGAGTTCTTAATTGCAAATGGTGTAGATAAAGTTCCGGGTATACACCTCTAAATTGGGCTCCCATGAATAAAACGCATGAAATTGTCATGCCTTCTATAAGAAAGGACGTTCAAGTTGAAGATCAAAATAGGTAGAATGATACAACAAAGCAAATATCTGCAAATATATGGTTCCCAGGGGGAAATTGTTTTATACTTCATAAGAACATATTCCCCTTAAACTCATTCCACAGCTGTGAAGGCCAGAAACGAAAACATTAAGGGGATTACTCGAGGAGTTGATGTGGGAATTAAATTTTCTACACTTGTTTATCTATCTTAATTTCTATCGATTTAAACAGATCTCGATAATGTTAACAATTACATCTTCTGCACAACTATAGATAAGATTCTTCATTTTCTCTTTTATTTGACTTTCTATTGATAAATTAATGAATTAGAACAAATTAAAGACATGCCATCAAATTCTCTGTGACAGTGCCTTGGGAAATAAGAAAAC